ACTAGTAGTTTTCTCAAAATTATGATTATAATACGAGCACAAACATGTAATAATACTTTTTATTATATCATTAAATACTTCACTCGGTACAATTTTGTTTTTCCATCTAGCCTTTCATTTCTCCTAGTAGACGACATAAAATCTGATTCTTGTAGAAATAAAGAACTTTTATTCATTTAAAACTGTCTGTTTTTAGTGCTACTGAACAGAATAGTGAATATGATAGTCGATCAAAAATGTTGATAACCATTGAAGTTATATCAAAAGTACTGGATCATTTAAAGCCAAACGATCGACTAGCCATAATTACATTTAATCATGCAGCGTATGTCGTTCAACCCATGAAGAAATTAATTGAGCTCAATATCGAACAATTGAAAAATCATTTATCTGAAATTAGTGCTGATGGTGGTACAAATATGAGTGCTGGTATTGACTGTAGTGCATTAGCATTTGAGACTGATTCTTCAGTGATAAATAATGATTATGATAATCGAATTTTATTTCTAACTGATGCACAACCAAATCAAGGTAGTTTAGATACAGAAAGTTTTTATTCACGCATTGAAAAATTGGCCAAACAACGTATTTATACAACATTTATTGGTGTTGGTATTGATCTCAATACACAATTAATATCTTCGATAACAAAACAACGTGGAGCCAATTATTTTGCTGTTCATGATTCAAGAAAATTTCTTCAATTATTGGACAAAGATTTTGATTTGATTTTGACACCATTAGTATTCAATGTTGAAATGAAACTTCAATCAGATTTATTCGATGTTGAATATGTTTACGGTTCACCTGAATGCAATGAAACTAAACAAGGAGAATGTATTAAAATTAATACATTATTTCCATCACGAACAGACGATGAACAACAGACACGTGGTGGTGTTGTTCTATTAAAATTGAAGACAAAAACATCAATAATAGATACTTTGACAACGACAGCAAACTTTTCAATAACATATGAAGATCGTCTTGGTAATAAATGCGAAGAAAAACAATCGATCTATATTCATATGAAAAATGAGATTAACTATACAAATACTGGTATACAAAAAGCTATTCTTCTAGTTAATTATGTTACACTATTAAAAGAATGGATAAACCATGAACGAGAACATAAATATAATGAAAAGAAAAATTTATTGGATTTGAAAGAAACGAATGCTGAAAAATTGAGTCCTTGGGAACGACAATCAACTGAGTTGATCATATCAAAACAATATCGAGAACAATTCAAAACATTCTTAACCTATTTTGAATCAGAAATGGCACAAATTCAAGATAAAGATTTGGAACAAGAAGTTAAATTATTATCAAAATTAATTAATTATGAACATTAAATCTGTTTGTTTCTTTCTTACTATAAAATCTTTTCTGAAATAAATACGCTCATATATCAATTCTCAGCTGAAATATTCGTATGTATTGATCAAAATATCACGACTATAAGTTCATGCCATGTAAGGAACTCATTAAATGAGTTAAATCTCTGTACTTGTTATGGTTTGAAAATTGCAATAAGAAACTACAAAGTTTACTTTGATACAAATGAGTTACGAATAATTCATGTAAATATGACAAACGTAGTTTGAACACGTACAATCAGGCCGATTATATGCACTCAACTTTTCTTTAATTGCTGTGAACGAGGATTAGATAGAAAACCTAGGATATCTATAGATTTTTCATCACATGGACTACTTCTTCACTAAGCATGTTGACAATAGACATGAGAATGTCGATGTTTGTACAAATACTCATGAATGTTTGTGACTTTTCTTCATGCACGCTCAACCTTGTCTCAAAGTGATATTGTTCAAGCATATCTGTAGTGCTATTTATTCAGTTGTGTTCTTTTTATCTTTTGTATTTGCTTGTAATTTGAATTGAAACAAGACACGTTGATCGCTTCTCATTGTCAATCGATGCAGCTTTATTAGAATGCAAAATAAATATTATTATAATGAAGGGTATTATGAGTGAGTTTGATTTCAAATAATGACATAAGCTTTCAATGGCATTTAAAATTTCCATCGACTTCATGTAATCAAACCTAATAATGACAAGATAGTCAATATAATTATTGAATAGCCGATTCATAAGCTTTTGGTTTCAGAAAAATAAATGATCCGGATTAATGAACGGATGGATAAATCAGATCATCAGGAGAAGTATCAATACTGTTTAATAGTGTTTTTAATTCAATGTGTCATTGATCTGGATTTTTCTTCAGTGCGTGAATAATAATCTATATTCGATTCATAAAAAGCAAGTGGTTGGATAAAAATAGAGCATCTTTTAGATATTAAATTCATGGAATCGGTTGCGTTATTGTCATACTAACGCACGGAGTCCTATGAGTTAGTAAAACCGTCTAGAAAATGGACTTATACTTAAAAAGTTTGTTTGTTGCTAAACTCATCCTCTAATGGCAGCGTCTGATAGTTAATATGTAATACGTGAAAGCTCTGGTAATCCCGATAAAGCAACACAACATCTTGCAGCTGATGTTGTAGTATTACAAGCACAATTCATGATAGTACTAAAACCGTGTGATTTTCATCATTTTTGTTTTTACCCTAAAAAATCGAATTCAATTATTGGATGTTACTAGAATCGTTCGGATCTTTCTCTTAGAAAAAAAAGCGTATAATGCGAGATCTCACAACAGATCTAGCCGAATTTCATCGCAATCTGACATCGAGATCCCGGATCGAATTATGTCGGAAACATGCCAGTCCGATCCTTTAGAATTCACTTATGTAACAAGGCCAAATATAACGCAGTATGGCGTATGAAACCGATCGGTAGATGTGAAAATTCATCGACTCTCGCCAATACAACTTAAAACAGAGTATGGCAGCAAAAATCTGTCGGAATTCTTTCGAATCTCACGACAGAGCTTCCTCAACTGTTCAGTCAATTTTATGCTGTCTGTACAGTGGTCAAAGCTTATTGATTTATTGAATATCCTACAATAATCTAATTTACGACGTCTTCTGAGTAGAGATATGCATATATTACTATATTCAATTTTTCAACTCTTTAACTACTATAATTTGTTTGATATTATTACTAAATAAGTTTTGATCGAGTCTTACTGTATATGATATTGAATATTTGTTTGAATATTTTAATATAGATTCGTTCGAATTTAATTTTTTTAAATTTAGATTAAAAATTGTGCATTAAAATACAGACTGTCAGTTTAACTGAATAATACTATAGACAAATAATTTTAATTGTGTAGTTTTTTTTGTATAAATTAGTAAAAGACTGGAAACAGTTATGACTTAAACAATGTCTATTTGATTTTTTTATGTAGTAATTAACACTGCATATTTATTTGTAATTAGACTTCTCTGTTGCACAGAATAATCTATTTTTATTTTCTTACATTTTATTGTATTTTAGTGTATTCTCTTATTTGATGAGATAGAAACATATTTTTCTAGCTTTATTATTTGTTTTAAAACAGTGTAAAAATTAAATGATAGCTGTTTTGTTCTCATATTCATTTCTTTTTTGTTTGAATTTTTATTATGTACCTCTGTATTTTTTATTTTTATATCTAAATAAAGTGGATTTTATACAACAATACTGGACTGAATTCAGGTTTATGAATATTTTACATTAATCACTAAAGTACGCTAAATCCATTTAGGAGTACCCAAGAAACATTCAGCATTACACACCGAGTACACATGAGTTCTCACCCCTAGTTCTCGTGGAATTTTCTAGCATGAATATTTTTTGAGTATTCCTTTGATGAGTACATTCACTAGAGAGAGATACATCAATATCGATTTCATAGTAAAATATATTTTTTAAACGTCATGAAAATCGATTAGTTTATTTTTCTGTATTGATGAGCATCAGCATAAACTGCTAACTGTATGCTTCCATATAAAACCAACTAGAGAGGAAAAGATAGCATGCATCTTTTAACACAACTGAACATCCCTTATATCTATATTTTTATGAAACATGACAATAATGATATTTTTATTGTTGCATTCGTAAACATTCATCTATTGAAAATATAATTAATAAAAAAGAAAAAAAGAACAGATTATCCGCTGTAATAATAAACATACACGTCTTCATCAAATTACAAGTCATAATTGACATAAATTTTCTTAGGGTGTAGGTGTACTTAAGTTTATTTTATTTTTCCTTATTAGTATTAGCACGAATATCATTATTATAATTCCTTTGCACTTTTTAATCTTATATTAATAAAAAAAAACCATTTAAAATAAAAATGTGTTTTTTATTCGTTCATAATAGATTTGACGTATATCTAACCCATTATAATCAATATATAATTTAGACGATGAATAAAATTTAAATGACTCTTGTTTTCATATCAATCTTGATATATTTAGATTGTAATACAAAACATTGAGATTAATAAAGTTGTTTTATTTTCTTGTACTATATGTAAGAAACATCTATGTCAAAAAGTACATTAATAAGTTTTTTTTGATGTTGTTGTCACTGACTTTCATATTTTATTAAGTCGGATCGAACCTCACATGTTGTTTTGTCTGTAATTATGTTAGTCTTTAGTTGAATATGATTTTTATGTAAATAATTAACATTGACTTAACAGATGTAAAAAAACATGATTTGTTTAGATCAATCTTTCTAGAACATTTACAAGAAAAACAAATCTTCTAAGTTCATATTTTTATTTGACATATATTACATAAGACAAAAGACTAAAGCCTTTTTTTAATGCACTGGTTCTTTCTTATATTAATGTGAAAAGAAAAAAGAAAAAAAAACACGTAGTTAGTCATCTACATACTATTTCTCGATAAGTAGCAGGTATTCTCGAAAAACCGTTTATTTTTAGAATAGCTTTTCTCACAGTACGTAATTACTAAATTATTCTAACATTTTATCACGCAAGAAGATATTGGCCTATTTAAATCAACTACAACATCATTTTTTTTTTTTATTAAACTTGACAAACAATAATGTTTTATCAATGTCTATCTACATCAACGACAAATGTAAAATCACAAGATAATATTAACATAGTAACAAGACAAGGAAGAAATACAACTAAATTAAGTTTTTGTTTAATATGTAATGCTGAAGCACGTATTATTAATTATGGTGCACTTTCTTGTTATTCATGTAAAACATTTTTTCGTCGTCATAGTTTAAATATAAAAGTAAAAAAAAATTAGTTTATTATTTTTTTAATGAATAATATCTTTGATCAAATGTTGTTTTTTTTTTTTTCTATTATATAGAATATGAATCCATGTCAATATGGAAATCAATGTAAGATAACAGTACAAACACGAAAATGTTGTTCATCATGTCGATTAGCTAAATGTTTTGCAATGGGTATGTCAATAGAATTTATTCGAAAAGAATATCGAAGATCAAAATGTTCTTCATCGATTAAATCAAAGGTAATATATAAGATTATTAGACATATATATCAGTTTTAGAGAGTTAAAAAAACCATTTTTTTTATGTTTTTTTTACTGTAGGAAAATGTTTGAAATGAAATAGAAAAACACAATTAATAGATAAATTATTTGCAAGAGTGAGCTAAGTGTTAACAAGAAAAAAAAAATTATGCTCAAGTATTTACTTAAGCTTCTCTAGTAAATATTTTTAATGAAAACAAAAGTTAAGAAGTACATAACAAGATAGATTTTTTCTCATATTTTGATATTGATTTTTCACAAATATTATTTTTAATGAAATTCTATAGAAATTTTATATTAAATTAAAATATATTTATTCATAAATATATCATACATTGACGAAATTTGATATATACTTATTATAAAACAAAGTACTGAATAAACAAGGCTTTTTTTTTTATATATACATAGATTAAAAAGTATTATACAAAGAAGTTATCAATGCAACCTTCATTAGATTAGAATATGAAATATTGTAATCATATAGAAAAAAATTTTGGTGTAAAATAACATAGGAATAATTTACATCAGTATATAAATTTCTTTTCATATCCAAACTAAATAGAATATAAACCTATAATAAGTATTTCACATGCGAGTTTTCCTTATAAAATTAATTTTTAAATCATTCTTCTCAGAAATAATATCTAGTCATTTTCTAATATATTCCTATCGGCTATAGATATTCTTGACGAATGAACATAACTCGAAAGGAAAGACTTATCGATTAAAATCATGTTTGATATATTTTCTAATAAAATGTATATTTATAAAAACAAAAAAGTTCTTTTTTTTATTTAGTCACTTCTACCAATCATTTCATTAAATTTACTAAACCATGATCAATCATCTCTTAATAATTCTGAATGGAATTTATTATCAAATGTAGTTCATGCTTTTGATAAATTCAATTTGATTCAATCAATGCATGATATAACTAAATATGTAGCTCTTGTTGAACCCACAATTGAAATTGATATATCTCAAACATTTAATCTATTTGCCTCTTTTTATACGGCAGTACAATCATTCGTTAATGTTACAGCTGATTTTCGTATATTAACTGTGGCTGAACAACGTTCACTATTTCAACGTAATTTACATGGTCTATTTAATCTTTATAGTATATTAATGTTACGTGATGCCGGTATATTTAATAATATGAGAAATGAAAGTATTATTGCACCTTTATATGGACAAGAAATTGTTCGTCGAGCAAAACGAATTTCTATGAGACTTGATTTTGATTTGACACTTATTAAAATGCTTCATATGATTTTTGCTTTTTCTACAAATTGTTACACAATCAATTATAATCCACATATGAATAATGATGCTCTTCTTACAGGTACTTTTCGTTTACTTGGTAGTCAAGATGTATATACGGAAATATTATGGAAATATATGATATATCGATATGGTTATGAAGAAACTATTCTTCGTTTTACAGCACTTATTAAAATAATTCTTGATCAAATTGTACTTTCAACAGATACTTATATGAATAATCGACATCATCAAATAATTGTTGATGATTTAGTTGAACAAGCAAAACATTCACTTAGTCTTAATGAAAAAGATTTTGTTCCATTATGGGGAAAAGATTATCAATTAGACAATTGACAAGAACAATAACTGAAACAATAAATAAAAACATCAAAAATTTCATTCGATCATAAACTTATTAGAAAGTGTATTTGTAAATAAATTAAAAATTTCTTATAATTTAATTCTAACAGATTATTAATCTTTTGTTTTATATGTCAATTGAATCAAATATATAATGTTGATATCAATAGTTTATCAAATACTAAACATATGAATATTGAACTTTTTTGATTACTCAATGGATAAAAATTTATAAATAAAAACCCTCTCAAGTTCAATCGATGATGAAATCTATTCGATTATTGATGCGTTTTGTCTTAATAGAAATACATGAATGTTTAAATTTTCTAGTTGAATAATCTTTATGCAAAATTTATTTATCTTTAAAAATTCAATCTGATATAATTTAAATGATGAAATAGAATTGAATTTTTTTTTTCTCACAAACATATGAAGGAATTTACTGTTGGAATAAAACAAAAAAAAGAGAGTTGTATATAAAAGACTTCTGTTTTTTCAAGACAAAGATTGCCTATGGTTTTATTTAATATAAAAGAAAGAACAGACTGAGTCAGATTGATCATTCTTATTGTTCTGTTTGTCAATCAAAAAGAGTAACTATGGTTTCAGGCACCAGATCAATACATATTTGACTTACCGGCGCAAAAAAAAAAGATCAAATAGCGTAAAGATAGTGATCGTTTGTCGTCATACTCAGTCTTTAAACATTTACATAACTTCCGAATATAAATGTATGTTGTCACGTTCGTGTCAAACCGTTATCGTTCATTGAACTAATTTTACTATTACGCACATGTAAATGTCCTTTTATCATAACAAATTGAAATATGTATACATCCTTCTTCGTTTTCTTTTTTTACTCGTTCTTTTTCTATATCAAAACAAGCTATTCAAGATATACATTCTTCTCATCTTAGCGAACATGTTGGCACTTGATAAAATACAAAAAAAAAAGAATCTGATATTTATATAATACGTGCAATGATGAAATAATCGTCGTATTCTATAACAAGGATTAAATACATATAGAAATAGATAGTGTTTGACTTCCTACGCATAAACATACAAATCTATGCTTCTTTTTCTTTTTTTAATTGTTCATTCATTTATTTTAGTGTAGTTTAAACAAATACATCACTATCTCTAAATCCTTCTTTTTCCATTCTTAGTGAACATTACGATGTGGGTGATGAATATAAGGGGCTTCACACCATCTTTATACATGTATCAATATGTAATCGCAATCGAGAATGTGCATAAGCAAGGAGAAAAAAAAAAAAAGAAGAGATCGAGTTTGCTTGATTAAGATAAGCTTGATTGTTTGAGATGAGGACGAAGACGACAGGTGTAATGTATAGTGTTGACCTCCATCTATTTTCTTAAGACGACAAGGGTATACCACTTATAATTTTCTTATTGTACATATCGTGTGTGTATATGTGATTTGACCCGTTGAAAGCAACAAATGAACGGTTGTATATCGTACAACATATGAAACATTCGACTCATTCATCAAAATGAAAAAAAAAAAAGAAAAGAAAGCCGAAGTTTGATCGATTGTTATATTGTTTCTTTATGAAAAATTTCAATAATATAATCATTCTATTTAGATTTATTTTAAATATTTCATAAATACAAGTAGGTAATATTTTATTTTTTGAAATAAAATAATAAAAAATGAATTCATTACCAATATAATAGTGTTAATCCAAAGAGAATAGTTTTGTTTGTTCCGTAAGTTCGTTGACATTATACGGTCTATTTCTATTTACACGTCTAATTTAACTTTTTGCATTTCGATGTGAAATGAATATACCTTTTCATTCTCATTCATTCGTTCGCACATTTGATGATGGTGTCAATTGATTCAAAAGTCTGAATATATGAATGAATGAATGAACGGATATTAGAGAAGCAACAAAAAGAAAAAAATACAGACACTATATGTCAGTTTTGATGTGTATACCGATGAAAAAGTCAAGTAGGCAGTGTAAGTTTAACTTTTATATATTATGATTGAAATAAAATGAAAAGAAATAAGAATGTGTAAAGTTGAATAGAGATTTTACTTTTAGATTATGAAATCAATATATATATGAACTAGAATATATTTATTTAAATGGAACGTATCGTATGGTTTATATTATTTTCTATTATGAAAATTCATTATTTAGATGGTAAGAATGAAATCTCATCGAAATAAAGATAATTATTGTATTATGATATGTTTTTAGAAAGAATTAAATAGTAGGAGAAAGTCATGAGATACACAACTAACTATATGTTTGATGTTAATTATTTAAAAAAAAAATAGTCTCGATCGTTTTATATTTCGATAAATAATGAGTTAATTATTTTCTAGGTGCATGTCCACGAGCAACATTCGAATTTTTTAATAATACAATTAAAGTACCATATAATTTTATTGAATCATCTGTTGGTAATATTGGATCATTGGAAACATGTCCTTGTAAGTTTTCTTGAATATATGGATTGTTAATGTTTAATTATTTTAATTTAAAAAAGATACTGGCCGTCCATATGTATATCTACCATGTTATCCAAATTCATCATGGGGAGATGAACCCTATTTTAGTACTTGTTTGAAACCACCTGATAAAAAAGAACAAACTACAATATCAAATATTCTTTCATCATTATCTTCTATTGATCATCCATATATTAATATGTCTATTGAAGATGTTGCTAAAGTATATTTTTCAATAAATATAAAGTTTATGAATGTTAAACTGTTTTTGTTTTTTTTTAGTTACCTATTGATACTTTTCATGATATTTCTCATGTATTGTCTTATTTAAATCAAGAAACAATAACTTTTAAATCAACATCACATATTACTTCAGCTGTAAATATAATAGATCATTTAATAGCAAATAATCAAAATATAAATAATGAAGTTTGTTTTATTTAAATAAATAAATGTTTATTTCAATTAAAACTATAGGTATATTGTAATATTTATTCAATTGCTGATAAACTATTATCATCGAAAACTACATTACAAATGCAAGAAGCACAAAAATCAAATCAAAGTATTGTAAAGTAAATTGAAATATTTTTGTTTTTTGTTTTTCTTTTCAAATAAATAATTAAATATATTCTAGATTATTATCATCATTAGAAATATTTTCTCAAAATTTAAAATTAAATAAATCAGATCAAAATTTTATTGAAAATAATTTAGCTGTATCAATTGTTAATATGCCAAATAATCGTACTAAACCAATTGTTGGTTTTGCATTTGGTTTGTATTTTTAATTATTGTTATATATGCAGAAAAAACTTAAAAATAAGATATTTCTATGATTTTATCTTCAAAGACAAATCAAAATGATATCCGAAAGTTTCACTTCAGTTTGTCATATGGATTCTTTTTTATCGGATTTTTAAATAGTTGATGAGGAAATGTGTTCTCAAGTATCAAACATGTCTGAAGTTCAAGTTAATCGTTTATCATTTATAGTAATTTTTAGAATAATGCTGTGATTCCCTCCGGGAAAACTTATTTTTGAATTTTGACTTGAAACTTTATAGAGATATAAAACTTAATGAGAATAATTTGTTGTAAAAGTTTCAGATGATTATGATTATAGTAAAAGCATGTTGTTTTGTATCGTTCAAAAATATCGATTGATTCCGATAATCTTACATCGGAATAGGAAAAACAAAATGAATCTGAAGCTTTCAAAATCAATTTTTCTTATTTAGTTCTCTCTCTGAGAACAGTTAGAAGTCAAAATTCTGCAATAAGGTTTTTTTAACAGTTGGCAAATAGTTTTCCGGCAAAATCTAAAGATTTTCACAAACACAACATGAAAAGAGTAGACAGAGTAGCCCACCCTCGACACCACACATCAAAATCCATGTATCACCCTGAAGTTATGTGATACAGCCTATACATTTTTCAGAGCACTAAAGTCAGTCGAATACGAAGTTTTCCAATACAGAATCTACCAGAGATGTCCATCGCGGTTGAAAACTGACCGCTGCCGCGCCGCGACGATAAAAGAAAAAAGCTAACGCGCCGCTACCGCACCGCTGCCGCGACGCCACCAAAAATAACCATGTCGCGACCGCGCCGCTGCCGCGATGATTGTTAGAATAATGTTGTGAATTCTACGATCTGTGACTGTTCAGGACTTGAGCTGTTGTTACCAATCGATAAGATTCGTTGAATCTCATAGTTTTGCACTTGCAAACATTGAAATTCTGTTCGAATTCATGCATTTTTGCATTGTTCTCCAAAAACACCTACCGCTACCGCGCCGCTGCCGCGATAGTTAGTTAAAAAAACGACCGCTGCCGCGCCGCACCGCGATGGTTATTTGAAAAAAACAACCGCTACCGCGCCGCCACCTCCACAGCGGCAGCGGCGCGGTGGCGGTAGCGGCAGCGGTCGCGCCGCGATGGACATCTCTGAAACCTACTTAACAAGCTCCATTCATATATCAGTAGGACTTGATGAAGATAGTCCTATCTCAAAAGCGAAAATTCTAGAGGCCGTAACAGAAGTTGTTGATATACACGATCAAAGATTCTATATAAATAATGTCTCGTTCTAATATATAAATTACTTGTTTATTGAATTTTTGAATAACGAAGAAATACATCCCAAAATAATCTCTCTCTGTAATTCGCAACAACATCTATATTATGTTTCAAATTTTAATCTCATAGACATTGTATTAACTGCTTTTTTTGGTGTTCTGATAAATTTAGATTCAATAAAAAATCAAACATTTCCAATTGGATCTGATGATATAAAGAAAAATTTAACAATTATTCTACTTGATTCAAAAGCACTTTCTCAACAAAATCGTTTAACATTTTCTGTCTATAATCAACAAAGTGGTCTATTTGATGAAAAAAACTATCGAGTATTTACAAGAATTATTTCATTAACATTTGATAAACCTGAATTAACAAAAAATCTTGGAACATTTGTTAAAATAAATTTTTATCTTGAAAATAATTATGAAGAAAAATATGGTAATTTAACATGTGCTTATTGGCATATATTTAATAATATGACAGCACAATGGTCAACAAATGGATGTTATTTAATTAATATAACAGATCGAAATGTTATGTGTGAATGTAATCATTTAACACATTTTGCAGTTTTAATGGTTTGAAAATGAAATTTATTATTTATTTTATAAATTATTATTTTTCTTTTCTAAAGGATCGTGGACAAAATATTACGACATCCGAATCTATTGAACAAATACTTTCAATAATAACATTAACAGGTTTATTATTATCATCTATTGGTTTATGTTTAACAATTTTAACATTTATTTTTTTCGAGTAAATTAATTAAGATATTGTTTTTACAATTAAATTAAATTTTTATTGCTTTTTTTTTTTTTTTAAAGAAAATTACGTCGTCATTTCAGTCAAAAATCTCTTCTTTTATTATCAATTAATCTTCTTATTGTTAATATTTTATTTTCAATTATTAGTTTATTTAAATTAACACATTTATCATGTATTATTATTGCTAGTGTATTACATTATTTTATTTTATCATCATTCAGTTGGATGTTTATTATGGCATTAATACAATATTTACTTTTTGTTAAAGTTTTTCCACGTACAATTTCAGCATTTACACGTAAAGCAGCTGTATTCGCTCAATGTAAGCTTAGAAAATTTGAACAAAATTTTATTCACTAAAATATATCTGATAAGAAAAAAATGTCGTTCGAAATTCATGTTATAACTTCAAATAGTGTTCTATGAGAGTAAGAAAGTTCTGAAACGAAAAAGTAAAACAATGAATGTTAACATGCAATATGTTCGATTTCGAAAAAGTAATGATTTACTATAGTAAGTTTTATTTTTGAATCGTATATAAATTACTTAGAGATAGGAATTTATTCGAATAACTAGAATAGAGAGTAAAATAGTTAAATCCGTCGCAATAGAAATGTATCACATTCGAACCTTTGACTTTAATTTGATATGAATAATACAGTTTAGTATAATTCCTTACTTGTTTTTTTTGTTTCTTTTCAGTTTAGTTGTCATAAAGCATTTAAATAAAGAAAAAAGTCTTTTGTTGTAAATCTATTCAATGAAATTCTCTTCTAATCTTACAATCAAAACTGAGGTTTTCATAAGCATAAAAAAGCAACTGGTTTCTAATCGAGACAATATTAGTATTGGATTTTATTAGGAATGCATAATTTCAGTCTACTGGCTATAAAGGATACACTGAGATACTGGAGCCAGGCCCCGCGCAAGCGGAGGGGTGCACCCCCCCCCCCCCCAATAATCGAAAATTTTCAATTTTTTCCAGCGAAAGCTGTGGAGTTTTTCCTACATTTCACATTATCTCTACGGAATTTTTTCGATCATACTCTCTTACAACCCCCCCAATTTTTGGTCCTTCACGCGGGGCCTGACTGGAGCACACACTATTACCAAAAAAAAACGATATATTTTGAGAACCGATGTCAGTATTTTCATTAACACTGATCATTTCTAGTTCAAAAAATTAATTTTTTTGTATTGTCATATTTCATAGTGGTTCCATTGATTCCTGTTAGCGCTGTTTTGGCTATTGATCCATCAAATTATACCAAACGAGATGATGGAATGTAAGATAATTCTTTCATTTAATCTTAATACTAATTATTCAATTGTCTAGTTGTTGGCTATCTGGTCAATTACTTTATTTATCATTTATATTACCAATAGTTTTATATATAATGATAAATAGTATTCTATTTTCAATGGTTGCTCATTCACTTTTATGTGGAAAAACAGGTCAACAATTACGTAGTACACATATGGTTGAATCAAAACGTTTATCACGTTTTTTAGTAGCATTAAGTTGTTTTGTTGTACTTGGTCTGACATGGATATTTGGTTTATTTACAATTGGATCAATACGTTTTTTATTTCAAATTCTTTTTTGTACATTTGCTTCATTAACAGGATTTTTCATATTTCTTCTTTATATTGTAACATCAAAAGCAAAACGAAAATGTTGGAATAGTATGTTAATATACATCTCTTGTTTGTATTTCTCTATTTTTTTTTTCGATTATTTAGATACATTTAAATCACTTGGTATATCATCAATTTATTCACCAACATTATCAACATCATCGGCTTTAAATGGTAATAAAGAATTATCAACATCATCAACAAATGATCAACAAAAAATTCCTTCACGTTTCGTACAATTTCCATCACAACCACAACATTTTATTGATGCATACATGCCATCATCACCTCCACCACCAGCTCCACCATTACCATTACCACCACCATTTTTAATTGAAGGTGATGATCCATTAAATAGAACAACATTATTAAATAATATTTATGAATCAAAACATGTTTGGTCACCACAAACAAATTATATTTATGAAACTAATCAACCAACAACATCATTAGATGATTATTCTTTATTCTATGCTTCACATCATGATGCTACAAAACTTTAATTTTAAGTTTTTTTTTCTTCTTCTATTTGTTTTACAGTCAGATGCGCATGTATGTTCAATAATCCGGTTGTTTGTTTTAATCCATTTTTTCTTTTGCTGCATATGTAATTCTTCTCTTTTATGAAACAAAAATATTCGAGAAGATTTACAAATGATTAATATCAAAAAGAAACACAAAAAAAATATAATCATTTTTCATTTTAGTTTAATTGAATAATTCTATTTATATGTATGAGAAAAATTTAACAAATTACTTGAAGTTTTCTACAGAAGATACATGTTAATAAGAATAAATTATTGTGAAAATTGAAGATTTTTTTTGGTTTGTTCTGATCCTGATGTATGAACATCGCATCAGCAGATGTTTAAATTAAATGAAGAAAATGTACAAAAAAAAACAATATGATAAAAACTAATCTTTTCTTATATAAATCTCTATGTTTTGATAATGCAAGCAAATATTTCTCTAATAACTATTTTATTCAATTAATAACATAGAATATATATTCGAAATTATTAATCACAATAAAAAAGAAAATTCTAATTTCATTATCAAACACATCAGTATTGTTGATACTTTTATCCTGTTTACTAATTTTTTTTTTGAAATTTAATAATACTTTTATTCCGAAATAATTGATAACATTTAATAATATGTTTTTTCTAGATTACTTGATAAAATATTAATCTTATATTTATCGTAATATCTTATCCTATAAGAACAATAACTTGAATTTGACTAGGGTCACTCTATTTGTTTCTATACTAAAAGAGTAACAGGATGGTAAGCGCACTTGAACGATTATTTATTATCGAAGTATATCATTATTTACTTAGATAAGAAGAAGCATTTGATGAAAACGACTTTACAATATATTTGATTTATATTTTATTCCTCACTTGTAAGTGTTATACTTCTCGATGATAATATGTGTGTATGCTGTATTAAAAAGATTTTTTTTAATCTAGTTTTTGATAAGAAGATTTACAATATTATGCTTTATTAGAAAAAAGAACAAACATTAGTTCCATTGATTAATTGATATAAATAATTCAATATTAATTTTTAATTTATCTTGATTAATCATCATTGTTTCTTATTCATTACAGAAATGATGTAAGAAGTCTATGTCATTACTATAATGTTTTATATTATTTATTTTCATGAATTTTCTTTCGATTAACGGATCTCTTAGTAAATAGAAAGCTTCATAGGACTATATATTCAATATTAACTTTGTATATGGATTAAATATTCGTCAGACACGAAAACATTATTAATTAACTGTATGTTTAAGCTTTTTTTCATGTTAAATATACATTATTATCTCTTTTGTAGTCTATGCGAAATATATACTAAACAAAAAAAGAAGGTATCAAGGATAATATTTTGATATATTGAATTATTTTAAGATTTCTAAAAATATTTCTACTATGTTTTATTTAATTGTATGTTATTTCATGTTTACTGTTGTTGATAATTCTTCTAGTCTCGTATCAAGATATAGTTCTGAGTAATCTTCGAACGATTCTTCCTAACACAAGCATCAAGTTTCTATTTTAACTCTTATAACTCGAAGTAATAGATGATATTGAACAAATATAAAATTTTCTTTCGGGTTAAATAAAGAATATTGAGTGAAAATATGTCTCTATTTGTTTTCGTATTGCTTGTAGACAGAAAAAAAAAGTAAATAGAATATGATTGTATTATTCTTTCAAAACAATATAGAGTTTAAATTTCTCCGATAGATTGATCAATGCATCAGAATCTTACGAGAAAATCATTTTGAAATCATAAATTGATTTTGAGCTCAAACATTAAATCGATAAAATAGAAGTCAGTCAAATATGAAAATTTCCAAAAGAATGAATAATCTTAAACCTTCTTTACACAGTTATAGCCATTTTAGGCTATTGCATGGTGTGTATCAGCAAATCTAATGAAAAGTATTTCGACCTAAACTTTCGCTTATAGAAAGGTTAGTTTATGATGAGAATACCTTGAAAATTTTAGTTCATAAAAATCTTTCGAACTGAGGAAAGAATTTTTTTACTTGCAACGATTCTCTCGTTAGTCACAAAAAAAAATATGCGACCTCTTTTATAACAAAAAAGAATTATTCTTGATGCAAAGATTATTCACTGGTAGAAAAATTACTCGGAACCAGAAGTGGAACTGCAGTTATGAATTCGGTTCCGATTACTAAAAATGAGAAAAAAAAGAAACTACTTCCGGTTTCCAAAATATCACATAGAATTGAAAATATTAAACTATCAGCTAGATACCAAAATTTTAAATCTATTTGAAGGTTTCAGTTCCAGTTTTCAAATCGCTGAAATCTATTTACTAATCATAATCACAGTTGTTATTGAACATCTGACAATTAACTTTAAAAATGCAATTTTAAACCGTTGCTTGATTGAAATATTTTATTCTCTGATGACATGATCAATAGATAAAAAATTATCAGTCACATCTATACATTTTATGCTTATATGCAGCTGTTACAGTTAAAAAAAAATTGCTCGAGGATACTTATGTCTAAAAGCATGAGTCAATGTCTAACAGGCATCATTTATGACTTGTTTATGATTTTTTTGTAGGTATTCGTCAATATAATAATAACTGAAAGGCGTCTCTTACAATAATTGACAAGTATGAATTGGCAAAAACAATATCATGCTGAATTATATGTTCGATCGATTCGGTATGACATCCATCGCGAATTTTCTTCGTTGATATACATATTATTTTTTTTTTCTTTATCAATCATTGCAACAATAATCAACTAAATTATTACGTGAAGTAACGCAAATTTAAATATATTTCAATATGTTGTTCATTTTATCTCAAATAGAGCATATCATACAGTAGAATCTGTACGATTGATCTCGAATTCAATTTAATTTCGATCTGAAATAAATTCAATAAATTGATTTCAAGTCTTGAAATGTCACACTCGACAAGTTGTATTATTCAGAACACAAAAGAGTTCTTATATTATTTCAAATTTTTGAGTTGAATGACGCATATGCATTTTTGTCCTTCAATATTTGCATCACTATGTGATTACTCAACGTTAAACGAATACGAAATGATTTAGCATAATATATGATTCATTGCACATACTAATAAATTCAATTATTAAAATTGATGTAAAAATTTACTTCGTTATTTATTTCTATTTAGATATAAAAGACCCAGATAAATTGTTATTATTCACAGATATATAGGTCTAACGTTTCTTTTGGAAAATATTACTAAAATTTTAGAACCTTTTTTTTGTCCGCCTAAGAGAGAGAAAAAGAACAATTACATCAAGTAAACATATACAAGATAATGTAAATAAAATTAATATGTATTCTTTTTCATATTGTCATAAACATAATTAAATAATAATTGTCGTTGCTGAAAGAAAAACAAACAAAAGAAGAGAAAAAAAATGAACCTTTACATTAATATATATATATATAATATGGAATGATATTTGTCATCGTATTAATTATTAAAACAAACAAAAAAGAAAAACATTCTATATTTGATCACTGTAAATAACAAGAAAAGAAAAAATATTTAAAGAATTACAGTTGTATTTTGTGATGATTGTTGTTCTTGTTGTTTTTTGAGATTAACAATAGGTTGACTATTTCTTCGATATTTATATGATGATGGTATTGGAAGATTTGTAGTATTTGTACGTTTTGTTGATGAATTCAAATTTCGTCCTATTTTTATTGATGATTCCTTTTCACTTGTATTACGTTTAATATCTAATTTTTTCATACGTAATTCATATGCTTTATTTTCTCTATAATCAAAATTAGTTGAATTTATTGTTAAATTTCGTGGACTTTTTATTGATGATATACTTGAATTATCATCACCATTTGATTGTAAACGTTCACGACGAAAATCTTGTTCATCAAATCCAGAATCTCGATCAATTTTTGATATATCATGAATTTTATCAATACATTCCGATGATTGTGATCGTTTAACAGCAAGTAATGGTTTACGACGTTGTTTTGTTGTTAATTGTTCTTCTTTTTTAACTCCTTCAATAACATTTAATAATGTTGTTGATCTTGAACAATATTTATTTAAATTATTTGTAGATCGTTTACGATTAGCTGCTTGTTCTTGTTGAAATTTTTGTTTTTGTGCTAAATAATATGTAGAACAATATCCAGTTGATTTTTTAGGTGAATGTGAATTAGATGATGGTGGTGGTGGTAATGATTTTGGTTTTTCTTCTAATATACCTTCACTACTTTCTAAACTATCATTATCCATATTTGTTGTATCATCATTTGAATTTGATTTTTTATTAATTTCCATTACATCTTCAATATCACTAATATTAAAATCATGTGCAGTTTCAAAAGATGTTACATGAGTATAATCATCAATTGTATCAATAACAGATTCGATAATATTTCCTTTTTTTTTATTGAAATTATTAAAATTTTGATATGATGGTTTCGTTGATTGAATAACATTTTTTTTATTATCATTAGAAGAATGATTTTTAATATCAATAGAAGATTCTATTTGAAATTTATTTATTGGTGAAGATGATCGAAAAGATTGATTTTCAATTGGATTTATATGTAATGTTTTGATTGTTTGTTCGATAGGTTCATCTTTAATATCTAATGATGATGATGATGATAATGATGGTGGTTTACTAGGTATTGCTTCTGTTAATGATGAATAATCTTGATCTGTACTTGGAGATGATTGTTTATTATAAATAGATGAAGGAGTAAGACGTCCTGTAACACGTGTACTTTTTATTTTTGTTGTTGTTGGTGGTGGTGGTGTTGATAGTGATTGATTATGATGATGAGGACATACAGATGGTTGATTAAGAATATCTTCTTCTGTTTTATATGTTATTTGTCCAATATGATGACGTCCATCAGCACCACGTGTTATAACAAGTTGAGCATCGACTAGATTTGTATCATGAATAGCTGGTTTTGGTAAAGGAAAT